CAAAAATCCAAACAGAGCATGTATTGTTAGCACTTCTGGATTGGAATAATGTTGATTGAAAAAAAGTTTATGATATTAGCAAGAGCAAAGGCCATTGCAGAAGACAAATTCAAGCATCATTAGTAATACGTTATTTAGGCTGGTGTACTTGGTGTCTGGTTGCCTTGAAGGAGATTAATTAGTGTTGCACAATCTACTTTAAAAACTGGGTTTCTCAGGCCTAAATACTGGAGGTATCATCTTGAAAGTACTTTGTTAATCACACAGAGACAAAGTGATGCAGAATAAAGCAGGTGCTGTAGCTGATCATTTAGCAATGGGGAAATTTAAGGCAGTCCTGTGATTACGGGTGAATTGACTGAACACAGAGGCTGAGTATGCAGAACCTGGACATTATGCTTGGATTAAGAAGAGGTTTTTCTTTTATGTCTAAATTACTTTTGGCAGCTGAACGATKGCTTTTTGTTTGTTTGGTTTGGTGTGAGAGGACTGAGTGTCTGTGCACATATATTAAGTCTGATATGCTGGGATATGGTTTGAAGCTTTTCCTGACTGGCCTGATCAATCATGTTGTCATCCTTAACCTTCAGTGATTGATTAAAAAGCAGAAAACATCAAAAGTGATTCACTATGAGCAGATTATAATCTGACCATTTTACTGTGGTGATATATTACTTGTAGTTCATAATAATTTYGGTTTTTCTTTCCTATTAGGTTCAGCCAGAAATTTCTGTTGCTTTCAAATTAAAAGACATAATAAAACTTACCCAGCATTACTATTTATTATTATTATTTATGGTGACAATACAAACCTTAAAGGTGACAAAAGAATTATTTAAAATGTAATGTGACTGAGGGTAAATTACATATGCCAAGGTTGCAGTGAGGCTTTATCGGTTTTGTAGCTAATGACATTGGCATTTACAATGACATCTCGAAACTCAGTAAATCTAATATTTGAGCAGCCTACTTTTCTAAGTAGTGTGGAGCTGATGATTTGAGGAAAGACTCTTATTAAAACTTTGTAGCAAAAATGTGAAAGAAGAAGATATGGTAGTTATGCTTCTTCTTTCAAATAAGATGTTCTCTTCAGCAAGAATGCCTCGATTATGTTAATRTAATGTGTCAGTATCTATGGAAATGTTCATTCCAAAAGCTCCTGTTGGCATCAATGAAAAAATGTTTAATGAAGGCAGATGGTGGTGTTTGAGTCTGTGACCTCTTTAGTTCATTTGCTTTCTTTCAGAAGAACAAAATTTCTTATCCACTGCTGATAGAAGTAATGGCTAAGATCTCTGTAAATGAAATAACTGGTAATATTGATAGTTTTCCTCTCACTTTCTGATTAATTTCTTTTAGTGACATCCACATACCAGTGAAAGWAATGAGAATATTGCCACTGATTTCAAAAAGCTATGTATAGGGAACATTTTGCATTAGATAAGAGTTTGTCATATAATCAGTTTTATTCTTTCCCTGGGGAACTCAATTTATTAGTCATTTTCTTCTGCCAGTGTGGGTCTTACAGCCAGTGACAGGAACAATGGCAAATATATAGCAATAAAACCATAAAAGTTGGCAGAGGCGTACAGATGCAATTAAATTATTCCAGCTCTTTAAAATAAAATCTGATCCAATATCAGGTTGTCAGTTTGTGTAATCAGTTTCCAGTTTTTAAAAATGCACTGCAGTCTTAAGCCAAAGGTCTGATCCAAACAGGTAGATTGAGAGATATTCACTGATTTCAGGGCATATTGTAGCAAGTCCTCCATGTTTTACATAAAGTTCTGGGAGTAGTCATCTGCAAAGGCAATTTTGAGAATGAAGCTCCAACTCACCTCAGAATATCAGGAAGTTATTTTCTCTAATTTATGAAGCTTCATGCCATTGGAAAAGGGGCATCTTTCTTTTAAAGGATAGACATATATTTTTAAGTCAAATATTTCTTTCCAGAGGTTCCACTACCTATTAAGTCTATTTATGTTATGGTGTTGGCTGAATTTCTCACATAGGGKAATGAACTCATATGACTGACAGAAGAATTCACTCTTGGGAAGAGCTGAAGGTGTTGGCTTCTTCRCTGAAAGACTCAAAGCAAAATGCTGAGTTATTATTCTCTTGATTCCTTTTCAGTATTTATGACTGCTATTCTAAGAAATATTTTACTATTTTATAAGAATAGTGTGCCTCTAGAAACTAGAGAATGTCAAATGATAAGCCCATAGAAATAAGATTTTGTCTSAACTGCTATACGAACAGTGTGTTTGAACAGATCAGTAATAATTAATGAATACTGGAAATTGGTGGGATAGCTGGTATTTTGTAACCACAGTGAGGATTAGCACACATTTCTTGTAAGATTGAAAACTCATAAAAATTATACCTCTATACTGAAATGGGATACTCTTTACAAGACATTATGTGCTTATATATATGTACATGCATACACTTGTGCATATAAATGCATCTATAAAAGACAGCAGGACAGAAATAAAGAACCTGTGAACAAATGTGAGAGGTCTTTCACCCAGCAGATATAGTTTTACTGTTGTTCTGCCATCAGATTAAGGTGATATTTTTTCTTGAGTAAATACAAGTTTTTTCTGATGAGGGGAATAGATAAAAATGTGAAGTGATGCATTGCACTATATCTTTGTGCTCTGTCATGTATATGTATATGTATATGTATATGTATATGTATATGTATATGTATATGTATATGTATATGTATATGCATGGCATATAAATATAAATGGTATAGGTATGGTGGGGATATATAGAGAGTGAAAGCAATGATTCATGACAATAGCATGTTGCAAACCTCTGTGAGACATCCATCTGTCACTTTTTGCCTCCTGGAAAGCACTCACATGTGTGCAATATTACATATAATCTGCTACAGGAGAGTGTCACTGCAGTACCTGTGGCAGGGCTGGCAAGCACAGAGGCACCTTTCTGTAGCACATTGYTTATGTTAACTGGGAAAAGAAAAGCAGGGGGCACATTTCATTCCCTAAGTTATGCTGAGATGGACTATGGGCTGTCTCAGCATCTTCCCAGGAAAGGCTGGCTGCCAGGGCTGCACAGGGACTGTTATCCCCTTGTCTGAGCAGGAGGATCCTGGAGCACAGAAGCAGCTCTCTGGTGTGTCCTGGCTATTGCCAGTTGCTGTGTGTTTGTAACAAGGCTCTGCCTCTTCCCAAATCTCCCTCCCTCAAGCRGGATCTTTTCCTATCAGCACAAGAGAGGGTATCATTCTGCTGCTTTACTGGGGCAGCCAGTAAATGAAGTTAAAAACAATGTAAAAAATATACCTTGATCTAAGATATTTCCATCTGAATATGTCTTTGTGTATTTCTGTCAACTGATCCATTTCGCAGAAACCATTACAAGCAGCTTTCTTAATTTATAGTATGTAAAACACAGGATACCTGGTGAAAGTAAAAAAAAAACAAAAAAACCGAAGCACCTGCTGCAATTTAATTCAAATATATTCCTCTGAATTCATCTGAAGGATGGAAATGATGGAATATGAGTAAGTAATCATTAACATGCAAGAATAGCATATTAAAAAAAAAAAAAGGTGTGGCAAGCAAAATGAAACTTAGTATACCTAATTTCATTTGCTAGTAAAAAATTTTCACAAATGTTCTCTTCAGAGAGACATTTATGCAAAACATAACAAGGAATGAAAATATACCATAACATGCTCCCTGAAAAGGCCCATTAAAAAATCTGAGTTGTTATTAAACTGTGGCAGACTTCTTAAGAGCACATAATTTTCAAACCATAAGAGCTTTAATGTATTAATGAGGTGAAATTATGAGTCTTGTTGCTATGCAGATGCAGAGAAGCTTATTAAACAGTTGTTCTATGCATATAAAAAAAAAAATACCTGAAGTCAATAAAATTGTTTGGAAATAAGTRTATTTGATGTCTAATACAGTAGGATTTCTTTTTTAGTTATTTTTTTTCAATTGAAGATGCACACAGCTTTATGCTGGGTATTTTTACTGCCTTTTCATACAATTTCTGCCCTAATTCACCTTTCTGTATTGTTCTCTTGAAGTTCCATGCGTACCCTCAGCAGTTTGATTATGTATCATGTATGTATTGAAAATATTACTTGCCCTCYCTGTGAATGGAATATTTGAAATTGTTTGTGCAGTCAGTTGCTTTTAAAATTGGTGGTTTTCCCTGTTAAAATCCATATACCCTTGAATATAAAATTATAGCCCTTTATCCTTACCCCTGCTTYTTTTTAGGCAGATTTAAACATTCTTCTGCAAATGACAATGTATCTATTACTTTATGAAACAACTCTTGTATGCAAGAGACATTTTCTAAAAAACTTTCTAGGTATCTAGGAGTTTCCACAAAATAKGCTTGATTTCAAGTCTGCTAAATTGTGAAAATGTATACCATAATGCTTTGTTTGGAAGAGCTGAGATGGTGACCAGATCCTTGAGGAAACATAAAAAGAATAATGACTGAGTTCTGCCTGGCTCTCAGTTTCTCACTTCCTGAATCAGCGTAGCAGGGACATATAAAGATGACAAGTATTGACTCTAGGGAGGGAGCAACAATGATTTGCCTTATTATTTCACATGTCAGTCGTAATACAGCAATATGTTGTGCCAAGAAATAAAAGAAAAAGTTCCTAGGTTATCTGTCCTTCAGATTGAAGAACCATTCTTCTGAAAAAAGGTACATATTTGGAAATTAGGACCTTACTATGAATAAGAACAAAGAAATATCTGGATCTTCTAATAGATTTTACTTTGAAGCAAGACAAAGTACCAGGAAGTACAAACAGGGCTCAGTTTGCATATTTATGCCCTTTTAAGGAAGTGCCCTATGGATCACCAGCTCCAGAAAAATTGTTTYGATGGGGGCATTCTGTACTTTCTCCTACAATGCAAAGCAAAGTTGCTTAATGTTTTTTTCAGTCMTTCTCAACTTTCTGTACATGTTGCCTTTGTTGTTTGATTGATTCATAGATCTACTTGCGATTCTTGGACTACGAGATGCAGAATTCCAACGAATGCAAAAGGAATTTTGTAGCAGTCTATGACGGAAGCAGCTCCGTGGAGGATTTGAAGGCAAAGTTCTGCAGCACTGTTGCTAATGATGTCATGCTGAGGACAGGTCTGGGTGTAATCCGCATGTGGGCAGATGAAGGCAGTCGAAACAGCCGATTCCAGATGCTCTTCACATCCTTCCAAGAACGTAAGACCCTAATCAATGCATCTGCCTTTCAGTTTGTTAAATGTTACCAATCCCCAAATCCGTTAATATTTTCTTCGTGCAGAGCAGTGACTGAAGTATGTTGCCAAACAAGCTATGTTCCAAATGTATTCAAAACAGTTTTTATTCCAAGCATTTGTAGTGAGTGATAATTCGTAATGCAGTAGACAGACCACAGGATTCAAAATCAAGAAAACAGGTACAAGTGGTTATGASCTGTCCAGTCATATAACTGTGACTTTTCTCTGATCCCCAAGCTACCATGTAAGTTTTTCCTTGCTTACAACATGGAAAATAATAGAGCTCCGAATGTTTTAATCGAGTATTATAATTTTCTCTGAATTTGATTTTTTAGGTCTTATTATGATTTACATTTGAAAAATACTTTATGATTATTTTATCACACATAGCGAGTGTTTCATATATCAATGAACATGTATGTCAGATACTGTTAAGCAATGAGTTTAGGGGTTTTTTTGCAGCAACATAAGCTTTCTAAAAGCTTTTCATATTCCAGTTAATATTCTCTTTATGTGCCTTACTTGCATTTATATTTTTATATGAATTCTGGACTTAGATAATGAGCAAAACAGCCTTTGAAAGAGGCAAAATATAGGTCTAGCCAATTTAAGAAAACAATCAAACCAATCACCAAAATCCCTCAACAAAACCCAACAATACCATTCACTGAAAATGATTGACCCAGGCAATCCTGTGAAAGACTTGTGAAAGATATAAATCTGTTTTTTTTTAATGGGAGTAATACATATTTGGCCTCTTGAGAAAGGTGCATATGCTTTTATTTTCAYGTGCTAGTTCATGTTAATTTTTAATGTTTTTTTGGTTTGTGCATTTTGTATCTGACAGAAAGATTTCTTTGTGGCTGTCAGTGGTTGGAATGAAGTCRCAACCTACCAAATACATTCTTCATCTGTATTCTGTGTGTGCATACCCTGCAATGAGGCAATGAGTCTCTGCTGAGAACAGCCTCCGTAATTCCTTAATTATGGCTCTGATTAAAAATTTCTGACAGTTTACATGCCTGAAACTGCATGCACCACTGTACTCTCACACTTGCARCCTCAGGTTGGATTATATTTTTCTTGCCTACAAATCAGGCCGGGGTCTAAAAGACACTGAGAACCCTTGTTTGAGATGATACTGCCCTTTTCTCATTTCTGCAACTGGAGATGTCTTGAATATTCAAGATCTGATTCACTTTTTTCACAAGGCATCTTGATCTGTTACCTTAGAAACAACTGCAAAGACACTGGAGGTTCACAGAATTTAAAGAACGGGAGAGTGTAGCACTATGATGACTAACTTGAAATGAAGGTTTGAATAAGTGCATGTTTKCAACGCTCTCCTATTTTAGAGGATAATAAGGGAAAATGTGGGATTTTTTTTTCTCTTACAGTATTCCTAATATATTTACCTGACATGCTACATCTTATGCGATACTCCTTTCTTGTAAGCAGATGATAGTTTATACTGAACCATATTCTGATTGGGAAATTCAAAATATGAACATGATGTGCTTTCTGTAAATTKAGTCTGAATTGTCATTGCTCACTAAAAGCTGAAAATCTATTAAAGGCTTAATTGTGCTTTGAAATATGTCTACACAGCCTGCTCATAAATAGTAGAATAAACTGCATGTGTGATTTTAGTGTTGGGAATTGACTTTAAAGATTTAAAGGTGATGCAGATGGTACTTTCTGTGTCTTGTCAGTTGTCCATAAGTGCTGCCCTATGCCACATACTGGTGCTGGCTGTCAGGAGTCAGCTAGAGCAGATGTCAGTGAGACACACTGTGAGACACAGCTCATGGCATGTAAACTGCAACTCTTTCAGCAGCGTGTGGGAATAATTAGATCATCTGCATGGAAGAGAAGGGATGTCAGACCTCATTCAGGGAGATGTGCATCAGGGAGCAGACACCTGTGTCTCTATTCAGGGACAAACTAAGAGGAAAAAATTCTATTTTGCTCATATAGAGAAGATAAAGGAACAAAATAGAAGATTTATGTTGCAGTTATGTGCATGGGAAAGAGTGACAAAGTAGAATTCCTGTATTTACTGTTCCTGTGGGAAGGACCAGGAGGTGTRATCTGTTGCTCCCCAAGTTCCTCTCCTTAATGTGATGTTTTCCCTTACACAAGGCTCTGTGTAGTGAAAGYGGTATTTTGTGGGAACAGGCTACTAAACCTGAACATTGTTTTCTTTCTGTGGGAGTTTGTTCAGTGTTAATTCTTGTTACAGAGCCATTTCCTGGGGACTTGACATTTGTGTAGAACAGAGAAATCTTACAGAGATTTCTTACATTATTATTTTYATGYRGCTCTAYCAGTGGGTTCCAAATACATTTGAAATGTATTTCTGTTTTTTGAAATGTATTCAGGCATGCATTTTTTATTGGCATCTAAAAAGTAGTCTTACAAGTTTCCAAACCTCTAGCAGTGATGCTTTCAGAGCAGCAGTGCTATAAATATGACTGAAGAAAAGGCATACAATGCATGAGGTTGTTCAATTTCTTRCGTGAAAATATTRTCATCAAAATMSTAGTTGAGCTCTAAGTAACACTTCYTAACTAGTTAATTCTTAATAGGTGATAATAGGTGATGATTTAGAACGATGATCTGATATTTCATTATCAACATAATTAGCTATTCCAACTGYCATTGTGGGGTTTGTCTGCTTATGTCCTTCCTTTTTTTAATCTTTGGAATATCTTCTAAGTATAATCATACTTTTATCCATGGGAGTCACTGTTTTTGTGAGATTTTAAATATCCAGTAAATTAATATAAGAATCAGAAAGGTAAACAAGAAGCTGGTATAATCAAAAGGTGTCTGTTCAGTTGGTAAGAAGACTTGAAAAATGAGTCTTTGTTTTCTCACCCACTGACTAACTGTTCATTTCATTTTCCGTGATTGAAGAGTGATCTCCAGCCTGATTAATGACAGACATGCTACACCTACAGCTTCTTCAAAGAGCTGCTCCTCAGCAGACACACCTACGCTTTAGCCTAAAAGCAGATTTGTAGAGCCAGGGCATACGGGATAAGAGGAAAAATCCTCTGTATGCCCAGCAGGCAAAATGTTCACTTCCTCACCTCTGACAGCTCTTTGGGCAGCATGGCTTCCTTCTGTGCCCATAACCCTGGACCAGAAATCCCAGACCAGAAAAACTTCACTCCTTCTCATATCTGTTAAAGCCCTTTGAGCAGTGTCTGTTTTTAGAGCCCTGTCACATGTGACTTTCCTAATGGAGCACAAGTTTCCATCACTCTTATTTTATTTTTATTAACAAAACCCATAATTGGATAGAAATCTAAGGCCATGTTTAGAACAGTRGTGTGTGGTTTGATCAAGTAACAGCACTCAAGTCCTTGTTTACAGAYTTGAAGGTGATCACCCAGCATGGGCAGCTCTTTATTGGGGAAGAAGGACTGCAGGTATGCAGGGCTAGGGACTGTGTTTTTCCTGAAAAAGGGAACAGCAAGGTGCCAAGTGCAACATGTGGAGAGGAAACATTCCTTTGCAAAGACCTATGAATGTAAAGAGATTGCAGCTTTGCTGGTTTTGCTCTCTGCTTCTACACTAATATATTAAAAAGTAGCCATTGGGATTGYCTCCACACTGGTGAGAACTCATCTGTGGTTTTCTCCCCCTCCATGCTGTTCGCAGCTGTCTGTCTCTATTGAAAAGCCCCCACTGGCTAAACATCCCAATGACTCTCTGACCCTACACAAAATAACTGTTTGGGGTGCCCAGAGTGTATAAACTGAGCACAGGCTGGAGCTCTGAGCTCATACTCCTGAGCTGCCGTTCTCTRGTGAGTTCGTATATCAAGAAAACCCCAAACAACAAAACGTGAACACACAAAGGTGTTTTTTAAAGACCAGATTATCGATCTGCATATGGTATTAACTATCCATAAAAGCTATGTTTATCTTTCACAGAGCTGTCTGAAGGTGCCTGAGAAGAAGCATCCAGCATTAAGCACATATACTTTTGAAGTTTCTAATAGCTGTATTTTAAGAATCCCTCTTTTTTTCATTAGTGGCAAATGAAAAGATTATAATTTTACTTTAGGCAATATACTTSTAGTGTACAGTACTAAAAATCTTAATAATTTTAAAATAACAAGTGAAGTTATCTCTCAGCATAAATGATGATTTTTTTCCTTGAAGAGATTGGTAGAAAACTTCTTCCTCTGTTTCAAGGATGATTCAAGGAACATCTGAAGAATTTAATTTTTCTTTCTCTTGGGGAGGAAAGTAAGGTCTATTTTTTCAGTAAGGAACAATAGGAAAATCCAAATGATCTGTACTCACAGAATTCTTGTGCAGAGCATGATGCAATGAGCTATCTTGAGTAGAGGAGGAGTAGGTGTGAAATGTCTAACGACTTCAGTGTAAAATGTTTCTCACATCTAACCATTGTTAAGATTTCAGAATTTTCCCATTCACCCTGAGGAGGRAGCAAGACCTCTCAAAAATATTATGAGAAGAAAGGAAGGGGGGAAGGGAGGGAGAGACATAAACCTAAAAATAACAAGTAGGGTAGGGCATTTGTCTAAGATTATCCAGTCCTGGCCTGAAATCCCTGCCTTGAAACAGGCTCAAAGGGTAAATCCACACGGTTCAATGAAGCACGACACAGACACCCAAGCTGGCTTGCTCAGAGGTTGTTCACACCCTGGAAGCAAAGGAGCTGCAGCAACTCTGGATGGTGCTGAGAAATAGTGAGAAATACACTGGGGAAAGCACTGCACTGAAGTGGAACAGCCAGGCTGCACACCAATTCCATAACAAGTCTKCTTTTAGCTCCACCTTGTAAAAATATTTTGGTCTGCCCATGATTGCAATTTATACCTCAAGTATCCTGAGATGCCCAACCAAATGTTGCTTAATGTACAGAGATAATGAATTTTGTTACTTATGTAATAACATTACAGTAGTATAATAATTATTAAGA